TCATATCGAAAAATAAAAGTTGTTGAGGAAACTCAAAAAACTGATTTTCTTTTTAATTATGTTAAATAGGATGTTTTTTTAATCACAATAGAAAACAGATTTGGGCCTTTTTCGCTCATAAAATATCGATCTATATGTGTAAATGAAGAAAACGCGGAAAAATCAATTTTGATCAAAACTCAAGATGGTCCCTTTTCGAAATGTACAATTCAAATATTTAAAATCAATTATCCGTCCGTGGTAATTGATTTGGAGAGGCTCGAAGTGTGCTAGAGGAATAGTCTACCGACTTTGGAAATTTAGAACTGCGGCTCAAAATTTACATTTGTTGTAAGCTGCTCAAGAATAATCAGGTCGTCAAGTATAACTGCAAAACACGCCGTGTGACAAAAAAATAATAATATTGTTTGTTCACGGTTTACGCACTTCAAAGGTGTAACTATGCATAATTAATCAAAGCAAACAAATAATCCTATTTTCAGCGATGTCGTCAACAAATTGGTCATTAAGCATTAACTTGTCTCGTTCATAATTTCAGTTTATATTTCCCATGTAACTTTTTCCCGTGTACTTTGTAATTTTGTTTCACCGTACTTTTACCACCACTTGCGGGTGTTTCTTGTATTATAAAAAAAAAAAATAAAAAAAATAATTTTTCGTCGCGAGCTTGTTTGTAGCTTCTTTTTTTACAATTTTCTTGTTAAAGAATGCAAAACAAATTTTCTCACATACCACCAAGGAGATCGCTATTGTATGTACATAATAAATATAAATAGAAAAACATGACTAGGCTGACTGTGGTGTCTCGATGCGGAAAACCACTGCACTGCAGGCAGTCAGTGTGCCACGGCGAAGTGTGTTTATGTGTGTATGTGCGTGGTGAAGACGTAGACCGTATCTCGGATGGTCGATAAGGAGATTGTTTGCCAACAGGAAATGAACATTACTTGTGCAGGGAGTGTGTTAAGTTCTCTAGAAGACGGTAGGCGGTAGGCCACCGACGATGAAACTCATATTACATATTATTATTTTTACTCGAATACACTTTTTAGCGGTGGCGCCGAACGCGTGTTTTGCCGTTGTTCCGTTTACGCACAGTTCGTAGGTATTTAAAACAACATCAAGAAGTTATGTAATTTACATACAAATGAAGAACAAACCACTAAAAAACAAACTAACATAATGTCGACACAAGTCAAACATCGCGTGTTCCTCAGTGCTCCTATCCGGTTTTTGACTAATTCTGTAGCAGTGTAGTGTATTCACTGAACAGTGGCGGTTGTGGATAAATAGATTTAAGTACATTCAAGGTGAAGGAGCTGCCAATTTTTAGTGTAATCTTTACCGGGACATAAAAGGATTGTTTTTATGGAAGGTAATGAACTCAAAATATACTACGAGTCACAAAAACGAATAGTCGAGGGAAATACGAGCGAGCATTATTTTTAAAGCATTAACAAGAGAATCCTTTAAGTTTTTTAATTCAATTAGGCTATAAAAACCAAGTACTCTAAATTGAATACGACGCCTTACGAATAGCTGTCAAATTAGGACTAGTTAATACTGATGAAATTATGATTATTGCATGGCCTGTGTCTAAAAAGCAAATCTAAGAAAATTAATTTAATTTAATAACTGCAATATTAATAATTGAATTTGCAATATACACAAGTTCCAAGATAACAGATAAATAAATATATTGTATAAGTATATATTGAGTATACGCGCCATACGGTTTATCGTAGCATTAATACAGCAGTTAGACCCGCCAAATATAAGTTAAAATTTTAATCTTAATTATCCTAAAATATACTCACTACAGAGTACGTTTTGATATAATAAAATTAAATTTTGCCACAAACGCAAAAAAACGTACGTGGTTCTTAATCGGTGACTTTTTTTCTGTCTAAGAAATTCAGTAACCAGAGGATAGAAGAGTAAGAGAGATATATTTCTCCAGGACATAACAAAATTATAATAATATAGTCTAATGACTAGTGCGTTGAGTTCAATGCATTGTTGGCGAATCATTTAAGGTATTTTTAAAGAAAAAAAAAACTGGTATATTTTTTAATTACTTTTCGAGAACAAATAAAACCCAAAGTAAGATGCAAAAACCAAAAACTATTATACTAACTCCTGTGATGAGGAAACCTGAGGTCTAAAAATGTGATTAGCTCCAACCCTTATCGGTCGATCATACTTGTACTTAGTACACAATTTACTAGACACTAGATAGAGGTCTAAATCGTGTTAGGAATTTTATTAAAAATGCAATATTAAGATTAATTTCGTAGTAATGAGTAACGTTGGAATTCGAAACAAATATTTTAAACTTTTCAAAGGGTCGCCGCCCCCCTTCGTCGATTGCACGCGCCGATAAAGCATTCGCAAGGCGGATGTCGGATTGAAAACTATTTACTGACTCTCTTCGGGTAGAAAAGTTACCGAAACTCGATGAACAATCAAGATAACGCGAGACGAATGAGGCCCAATTAAAATATTATCTTTGATATTCATAGTAATTATTATTATACGACGGAGATACGATACGACGACAGGAAACAATTTAACGAATTCCGCAGTCAATAAATCTTGCCGCTCATTTCCGAAGCCATTAGCTGTATTATACTACTTAAACGGCGATCTCGAGAATATAATATAATATAATTATTTTATTTGTGTGCACGCACAATTAGTACAATATTCGCAGCAAAAGTTTAGAAAACGAATATAAATAAAATTCATTTTCTCTAATAAAAAGAAAAACTTTTAAAATCTAGCTTCGTGTCTAGTGTAATTATATGGATTTTGTTCTACTTATTGTTGTCAACCCTACAATTAAACGGAATGTAATATTATGTCGTCAAATTATATAAAATGATTATGATTTCATTTTGTTTTACGAAGACAATAAGGATACTACATTAGAGTTAAATGTATTTTAGATACAAACGTGACATTCTGTGAAATTGTAAATTGTCCTTCAAAAATAACTGTTACGTGTAGTCATATTTTCTAGTCGTTAAATAGAATTTGAAAATATTTCTTCTTTATAAAAAAAAATATATAATATTTGAGTAGTTAATTTAAAAAAAGTAAGTTACCGTTAAGAAAGTTGGAGTTCTGAGTTAGAGTTAAGAAAAAGAAAAATAAGACTTGAAAAAGGGAATAGTTATATTGAAAATATTTTACTTTGATGTTTTTTGAATGTTAAAATAAAAATAAATTGTATTGTATAAAAAAAAAATTCGATTCTTAAACAGTTTATTTTCAAAAATGTGTTTTTTAAAAAACCTACAGATCTGGGAAAAAATGTAGATTATTAAATCGTAATAATCTAGTTACAATTTTTTTAAAAGTAGGATATTATATGACTATACCTAAACCTATTTTTTATCGTAAAATGTTTTAAAGTAAATTTGTTTATCTGTATTTTGATCAGCTCGTAAAGCTATTTAGGATATTGGTATATTTAAGAACGGTGGCCCTCTTTGGCCATAAGCCCATTGTTCTGTAGCAAAATGGCCCAGTCTGACTACTAATCTTAACCTTATCTTATCTTTTATAATATTCATTATCATTATTACTAATATAAATAGTCATTATCCACGGTAGACTAGTAGTAGAACTTTAATTTCTAATACAATCGTTTTCTTTGATCAACTGCTTTGTTGCACGTCTAACAAAAAAATGTAGAATAAGTTCGAACAATACAAACATACTGTCGTGGATTCGAACGAACTACCGTTGTGTCGGTTTTAAATGTTCTAGGTACAATATAATATAGAATATGGTCTTCGCACCGACCGTGTTGTTAATGTACAATACTATAATGCGCGCAGTAATTAATTAGAGACATAACTCTTGAAGTCTGAACTTGTTGCGTTGTTCGGGCCGGGCTCAAGAAAGTTTTATCTCTGTATTCACGCGCCACGGGAAAGCGCAGATCGTTGAATATATAACGGCCATTTGAATAAAAACTATAGTTTGTAAAATAATAATAAAGTTAATAGTGTAAACGATTACACGACACGACGAGGTAGTCGAAGAAAAACGGCGGCTTTTAAAGCAAAACCGCCGAGCTGTGGTGTACTATGTTCTTATTATTATTATAGTGTGTAGGATAAGGGCGAAACAAAAACCGTGTAATTTATACTCGGCGCCGAAGTTTTCGTTAGGTACAATATCATCCCGATGGAGAGCCTATATTTATATTATATTTTAACATGTCACGCATAACAGTGGCAGTTTATCTTGCGCTTTGTGCACGTTTTAACCTTTAACAGAAAAACAAACAATGCTCGGATCCATTGTCATAAATATTGCCTGCCCTCTCGGTGTATCTCGGCAATAAAACTCGCTTTTTTTAATACTCGGCCATCTTTGTGAAAAATAACCAAAGATAAAAACAGAAGGGACGCCGTCGAGATATAACCGCCGTTTACGCTGCGTCTTGCAATAATAATATTAATTGTTTTTTTTTTTCGGAGTCAACAGTTTTTGTAAACGTCACACGTTGTACTTAAAACGGCTTTCGTGGCGGTAACAGGTAGCGGCGCTAAGGCTTTTCGCAAATAAACCCATATTGTACACACGCATATAATAATATTTAACAGCAAAACATGTCACACGGCAAGCAATTATGCAATAGGAAAAATACAGAAACACATTTTGTTGCCCGTCAACGCCCACAGATAGCAGCTTCATGATCCGGTGTTTTCGTCTTTCTTTGCTGTCACGGCAACAAAACTATGTATTCCGGGGTCACTTTGTTAATAACGTTTATTTTAATATTATTATCATTATATTATTACTACCTTTTAACGAGCCCGGTCTCGGTGTGCCTGGCCTGCTTAATTAATACTTTCGGTTAAGGTTTCGGCGTAAACCGCGGTTGGCTCGTGACACGTCTTATCGCTGTCATAAAAAAAACGCGACGACCGAAATACCATTTAATTGGGAAACCGATCTTGTGTAGTAATTAAAATGCAACTCACCTTAGAGCTTCCCTGTAATGGTGTACAGCCGTCTGCGTATCCCCTATATCCCTGCGGTAGTTCGCCCAGTTGTAGTGCATTTTGGCGTTGTGCGGCAACGTTTTCAAACCCGCTCTGAAAAACCACATCGAGCCGATTATACCGCGGACGAAGTCAGATTTTTTAGTTGATAATAACAGTGTTTGCACACTCACTTGATGATCGTCGGCCTTGACAGCCAATCGCTATTTCTCAACACGGTCCTGGCGACGAACGCGGCCAGCGTGAGTCCGACAAGGCATTTGGCCGTCACAAACAGCCAACGGGACGACTTCTTGTTGTTCAACAGTGTTTGAAGACCATAAACACACCATAAGACCAACCCCATGCTGCGAAAAACAATAATATATAAGGCAACGTCAAAACGATTATAATCGATAACGACGAGAGAAAAGTAAAATACTTTGGTGTGCGATACGTGACAGAACGATGACGTTTAGGGTGAAAGTAATATGAATTTTATATATGAAATCGTTGGAGGGCGCAGCAATGATGTATGGACGTCTATGTTAGCGCAATGACTGAGAGCTGTAATTGTTACCTTGGTATGTATAGTATTCTTTCGGCCACTACAAATCCGACAGTGATCAGAAGATTGGAAGCAGGAATATAAGGAACAACGAGAAGAAGTGCGGCCAACACCTGGGCACCGTATTTTTGATTCTGAAAAATATAAAAAGCATACTATTATCATTATGTAATACAAATTGACCATTTACAATTTAATTGGAAAAACACGAACATGTTATATTATAATATAGTTGCTCGTCGTTTTATGTTTACCCGTTCAATAAGTCATGTCAACATGCGAATCAAAAAATGAAAAAAACCTAACAATAGCTTAGAAGGTATTTGTAACTCGAATGGAATGATGAATCAACAAATCTAATATGATACCATGATGATATAAATCCGTAACCGTATTAAAATATAAAATATATAGGTATAATGATGTCGGGTAGTCGGGAGAGCAGAAGGGGACAAAAAATGCAATTTTATGTTCATTGCTGCGTAGTCGATCCGGTGGCTAGATAGTTAGTTTTATTTACTTTTTTTTTTACCAATACTACCTACAGTAATATACTCGTACATCATTTTGTTACCGGCAAACCCGTAAATCTTGTTATTATCCGGATGTGGTATAAAAATAACGTATCGCGCTTGACAAGATAAATAACAAAACATATTTCGCCATTAAAAATTGGTTTGAATCGAATAGTGATATTTATGACGATATTAATTTAATACATTATTATTATTATTATGTGCACTGTATTCAGGAACGGATACGAGATAAATCCGTTAAGCTCGCAACACCACCTTATTCATGTTCGAACCATATTATATATTTCGCTTTATTCGTAAACATTATACTTAATTAAATCCGTAATGTATACAATGATGCCGCGGGTGGCTTCGCCTTATGTGTTATTACATTACATTAACGGTACTAGGTCAAGTTTGTTTACTCTAGTTCGGTATGGCTAAAAAGGTCAGATTCCAATATTACCTACTCAGATACCAGTAAAAATAGTCGAATTTGGTTTTAAAACTAGTGTAATGTATTTAATATTTATGAAAATAATGAAACATAATAAGATATTAACGATTTAGTAAGGACTTACAATTTAATAAAAATTGTACTTCAGTATATCTGCAAACGTTATCGAGCGACCAATCAATGTTTATGAGTTGATGATTACATAAAAATTGTCGGTTAGTAAATTAAAATTGTATAACCGTACTTAATTATATACTATAACATACTACAGTTTAAAACTTTATTTGGCTTATGATCCTAATGCTTTTGGATACTAGCTTAGTCGATTGTCTAAATCAAAATATTAAGAATATAAAGTAGGAAAATAAGGTGTGACAGTGTTCTTAAGGAAGGTCGCTAAATTCTCTGTATCAGTCGCTCTAAGCATGTAACTGTATACAGTCTACAGAATTTAAAAGAAATAACCACTTCATATTTTCTAGCTAGAATCTTAAATGTATTTGTCTAGCATTTGGATAAGTACCAATATTATTTAAAACCGCCAAATCAAAAACAACTTAATATAAATTATGACATAAATGTGCGTGTATACATATATATCCGCGGTTTACAATACGCAATTAAATAATGGTGTATTTTATAAAAAAAAAACCCTGTGTGGCTTTAGAATTAATATTTCATATTCATCGTTTTATACGATACATAATGAAAATATAATTATACACGGTAACAAAAAAAAAAGTGTGGTTTCGATTGGTTAAAAAAAACCGATGGAATAAAAATATTATTATCGAAACGTTCTGCCTCGATGTATGCAATACAATAGGCTTTTTTGTATATTTTTTACCAATTCCATATACAAAAACCGACAATATTATTATAATTTACTGCCTTCGAAAGGTATGTCCCTCGAGTATGGAATTATTATTATTTTATAAAATTATATACCCATATATGTGTAGTAAAATTTTGTACCAAAAACATCACACGACCGCCTTGTGTTCCTAGTAGTAAATATGAGTCATTTGGGAATCGAAACGGGAACGTGGCGATGAAGGCACTCTAATCGAAGAGGGGGGGGGGGTCCAAATGGCATGTGTGTACTGTGAGTGCATGGGTCACCGCCTTTCGCGTTGTCAATAATGAATAAAATACGCGCGTACCACGTACAGTACATATATAATATAAATACATTACTTTTACGCCCACATCACATACATATGGGCTCGATAGCGTGTTGTTCGTTTGTTTAATTACCGCAACTAGGGCCCTGATAATAACATATATACTTAGGAGCTAATACAAACGGTATACAAGGCTATTCGCGGTTCTGTCACTCGCCCAACACGGAATCGAACACGGACCCGTTCGGCTCGATCGTTTATTAAAACATCAGCTAGTACTAACAACATAGTGTACTATGTGACATATGCATTTAGATATTGTACAATATACATGCGAATGTTATGTACGGTCGAGTGGTGACCTATGATGTTTACGCGGGCACTATATCTTTGCCAAAAATGTTTCGGCCAAAATGTTAACGAGCCCCAGTCGACCTTTAGGCTGGCTTATCATCGGCCAAACGGTGTTCAACCTCCAAACCGATTGTGCATAAAATGCCGGTATCCGTGACTTGACCGGCACCGGGAATTTATTATTGGCACCCGGCAGAATCGCCACCGACCAAGGACGGAAGTCATAACTCAAGAGGGTGCAGCACCGTTCCTCCGGCATCTTCGCGGAAATTCCTGTTGGCACTGTTCGTGCGATCACACCCGACATTAATTACGGTCGCATTATCTCAGGCCATCGCTATGATATTAGCGGCTGTAGGACCTAAGTTTGGTTTTTACCCGCCGCCGTAAATCGCATTTTACAGAGGCACACGGACGAGCTTCCTAAAAGTTACCCACTACAGCCTTGGTGCAGATAAGGTGGTGGTATGTATTGTCGGCAATATACGTGAATTCATGGAAGGGTGTTTAATGTCGAGACACCGTGTAATATATTGAAATATACGCACACACACACACACACACACACGATACATACAAACGCACACATACAAATTTTATGTTTTCCGTTACCCGAATATGACCGTTTAGAGACTACATCGAACGTTTATGGATTTTATTTATGACCGTTTACATTTTAATATATTGCTCGGAGTAGGAATATACAATGCGCTATTTTTTTTTATATATCTGTATAATAAATTCATACACACATACATGTATACATATAGAGAGAGAAAGTTTAGACATACACGTTTGTGATCTTAGTGTAACGAGTACTCTTTAACCCTTCGCGATCGAGCCGCGAGCGAAATATAATATAATATTATGTAAGCGTAGTTGATTGAGGGACCTATACACTAGCATTTATAAAGACGCTTTGTTTAGGCATTCTTCAATAAATCTTAACTTAAAAATAAAATTTGACAAATCATATATTAACACAGCAAAGAGCAGGGGCGGTTCTAGGACTCAAATTTCGCATGGGGCAAGAGTATAATTTTGAGTTTGCTGTATTTTCCAATTAAAACTACAATAATAATAAAATAATTAATGTTTATTTAATTAATAATATTAAATTAAATGAGTAATTTTTCATACTGTAATTGAACTAAATAGGTTTGGCTAAATATTGTGTACAATATGTAGGTATAACTTTTTTTATAACTGTAAAATGTTCAAAGGAGAGTGACTTCATACAATAGACTCACTGCGTATACGTCATCGATACGGAAACTCATTGTGATATTATATTTTCCAACTAATAAAAAATGAAAATGACAAAAATAACGAATCGGCGAGCTTGCCGGCGCTTATTGATTTAAATTTTACCTGTATAATGTATTAAACGCAACTATTGTAATGTCCAAATCTCACGCCATAAAATACTTTCAACTAGTCGTTTGTACATAACGTAATTTGTATTGGGCAGCTGGCTATGTTATTTACAAGTTATGTACCTAATAATAGGTAGTACGTATTATAATAAATTGATGCGCTTCGCGATTGTCACGATACCATACACTTGCGTTTCATATTATGTAGTAGTAATATAATTGGTTTTGTTTTATTTTAGTATATACACGGGTTGTTGACGTGTCCGGCAGTAAAAGTCCGGTAAATGGCATAGGTAGATACTTTTAGAAGACAAAAAACGGTCTACTTAGCCGAGTCTATGAATATATGTACTCACGTCCATGTCCATCAGTATCTTGCACGTAACACAAAACAAGAACGCCGCTACAAGACAGGTTCCTAAGTTTCTGACGTCATTCACGGACGTGACCAATGGCAGAGAGTTCATTTGCCAGTCGTGGCTGAGCGCCGACGGACACAACATCAGCCACAAGTTAAACACCGCCACGTAGCTGTAACTCAGGAACCTGAAAAACAGCAAAATTAATAATATTATTAAAAAAATTATTTTTCCGCTACACGGATCAAACTTGATTGATTTTCAAAAATATTCACTCCTTTCCCTCCCTTCCTAACTATATCTGCAATCTCCTAACCACCACTCCATTTATCGCATTTTTTAAATTTATAATGATCCGGTAATAACCTGATAGTCATCTGGTAATAACTACTGGTAGGTATTTATCAAAGCGCATATTTTGAAACAAACGTCAATTTATGAATTTTATAAACTTTTCAAATTAAAATTTATTTTTTAAAAATGTTGACTGGTTAATAACTAAAACACCAAGTTATTAACACAAAAACGTAAAAATTGTAATCTAAAACCGATTATTGACCAGCAAAATATTCTATTAAAAACGTTAAATTAAAAAATTGAATTAACTATTTCTGTTACCATTTCAAGTTCAAAAATCAATATCCTTCTGGAATACCAATAAAAAAAGTTAAACGTTAACTTTAGAAATTGTATAACAACGTAAAATGACATGAGCAAATATGTTTTCAAAATGGAAAATATTTTCCAACAAAATTATTTTGTACAATACTATATTTAGACATATAGTCATTAACAATGGGAATTGTGACTGGACGAATTAGTTTAGTAGTTTAACTTTTATATAATATATTCACAAAACCAGGATCAATCTATATTACGACTTACTAATGAACCGACAAAAAAAGCTAATTTTTGTTTGTGTCGACAGTATAATTTTGCGAGGGAAAATGTCGATACAATCAGAGAAAATGTGAACTCGCAATACTGCCAAAAGGCGTTTAAGCGTTGCGGTAAAAAACGATGTAACGCGGTAAGGTAACGTCTGCACGTTACAACTAGATCCGTAATGCGGTCTAATGGTTAGTGTACTAGGACTTTACTCTTTCGCTCTCTTTATTTTTATTTTCCTACCTCTTCGCCCACTTGACTCACTACACACAATCGTACACACTCCGACGCGCGCATTTACCAATATTCGAGACACGTGCAACAAGATAAGTAATTTCTTACTCTGGTCTGAAGACATTATATAGCGGCGTGTGTAATACATTCGACGAAAATTCAAAGAAAGAGAGAGAAGGTGAGTTGGCAAAAGTCAGCCACCAGACTGCAAAGGAAATTTTTCAGCTTTTAACACGACATAAATTAGGTAGGAAACGTATTTAAAATAAATTGGCTTTTTTTTTTCACTTAAATATTATAGTTTTGTTTGGGATCAACGAAAAGCGAACGCGAGGGCCATGTTTATTTGATCTCAATAGTTTAAGCCATCCCGTCGGCAACTAAAGAAAACGAGCTCGAATCCAATTCCAATTGACCTGTTTCAAAGGCAACGTTTATATTTTAAACATAAGCTGAGCTTTTAAAATAAGTTTACCTTGTGGAGGTACGTCTAAAAAAAAGCACATTTTTTCTTTTATCAGAAAAAGAATACGTTAAGTCTTACTCTTATTGATTCACTTAAAGCTGTCGTTTTAAATATATGTCTACGTTATATCGGTACACTCGTAGCATTAGAAACCAGCGATCTACACTTATCGTCTACGCCAGCAGTCATTTTTCCGATCACTTCCAAGTGACTGCATACAAATTAGTTTACATAAACGTAAAACTGGTATAAATAGTACAGCTTTCTATATTAAAGGGCCTTTATATCTAGGCATTTTTGGCCGAAAACAATTCGTTCTAATTTTAACCGAATTCTGAAACGCGTAATTCGACAACACGTTTTGAAAATACATCAACTTGAATATCATTAAAAAAATCGGTAAAGAACTTTAAAACCCACAATTTTTAAAATCGGAACAGTTATTTAACCAAAAATGTTTTTTTAGAATAGCGCCACGATCGATGACTTGTAAATGTTATGAAGAATTCAAATGTTTTTTTTAAAACTTAAATCGGAGTATTCTTAGGAATTATATTTATTCCTTAATTATATTTAAATAAAGTTTAGAACTTATGATCTTAGTTAAACTAGTTCGCAGTGAATTAAGCTTATTGAAAATGTCAACAGATGTTTTGTCGAAACAAAATTCATTTGAACTGACTCAATTTTTAACGAATTTTTAAGATTGGATCTGATTTAAAAATGTTTAACGTTTTAGTTAGAACTTTTTGACTATTTTACGTTGAATAAATAAAAACCCCACATTAAATTTTTAAAACCCTTATAATTAGTATATGCTATTTTATTTGAGTTTTGAGTTGTAACAATTTCTGTAGTTGAGACTTGAGTAATAGTTTTAATAGTTTGTATTTAATAAATGCATTTTAGAATTTTAAACATGTTTTACTAGCCTTAACTATATTTATTAAAGGGTTAAACAATGTATTTTAATACACTTAATTGCTTAAGTCTCTCTAATTGGGATTTCCCCGAGTGATATTATTTGTACCTTGGGTTTAAATGGTCAATGCGCAGTATACCTACTTTTTAGCCCAACCTCACTAACTTTGGCAATCATTGCCCTTGGCTCGCTCCCAAAATACTAATAGCGTATCCACAAGTCGTTAAGTTGCATTTTTGTCGTTTCGCAAGTAGAGTATTTGGAAAGTTTCGACATAAAATATATAATACCAATTTTCACAATCGGTCCAAACTAGTCGAACCCACAGAAGTCTTGTTGGGTTCGACAAAAAATACTATAAATGTCCTATTGAAATACCATTGATTTATGATCAATTTAATAAATTAACTTTTTTTGATGTAATAGTTTTTAGTGGTTTCCACTTAAATGTTATTTCTTGTTAAAATCATGCACGTGCGAAATGTGTACATTTGGTGTTATTTGCTGTTTATAAAAGTTTGAATACATATTAATAGCTATTCCGAGTATCATTAAAAGTTTATTTGTTGAAGGAATAATATATAAATTATCCAAAACAGAAAATTCGATTGAAACGTTCGTTATGCTAAACATACTTCATAATATGTTGATTCAAAGGCTCGAGTAGGTTTTAACTTTGACACGTTTAGCACGCATGAAAGGTTAAATTCGTAACATAAGTGGAAACTTCTCGTTTTTATTTTATACCAATATTAGGATAAATACGCCAACTAACATCAAGCCTCTTGGTAAGAACAACATGGCCTTTTAGTCATTTGTTTTCAATCTGAAAGACGTACATTTAATAAAAGCCTCAGGATGATTACATGAGTCGCAAGGAATTATTGTATTAGTAAGTGATAAAATCGAATTCAATTATATTAAACATTTCGACGCATAACTGTAGATTGTAAAATATACACGTTATAAAGAATTTAGACCTAATAAAAAGCTACAGTGACGGATAGGGTAGCTCGGAGAGAGAGATTATTTATTTACATAAAAATAGAATTTATTTATTACACTTAGAATGTGATGATCCCAACATGAATAATTATTTTAGTAAGTAATAGAAATGTTTATTATACATTTAATTGTTATATTATTTGTTAATATTGTAAAGTCAATAGTCATAGGACAATACGCGACGTCAAAAACCTCATTAAAACTAACTTTTGTTAATCAAGAGCCTTTTTTCAATTTAATAATCGATCAAATATGAATGAGTACCGCAAATACACCTATGTGATCCGTGTCAACACATTTACCGAAGAAAGTTTTGAACTTTTGGTGGGTTCAAAATAGTTATGTTACGTTTTACGTAGGTACCATAAATTACCTTAGTCATAGTACTGAATAGCAGAAATGTTAATTTCGATGGCGCCAAGGTAACGCATTACTTATGCATACCTGTTCATTTTTTTGATTTCGACAATCGTATTCAAATTGCATTACCCTTAACAAGAGTTTCATCTACTGTACCTAAGGTCTTCAATTAGTATTGTCAATCGGAATTAGATAGACAACAATAGGTTGCAAATTGTATAGGGAAACCCCCTTAACCTATAGTCGAGCATGTATAGCCTCGTGTATTGATGTTGGATAAATTTTGATTTTTTTTAAAGCTAGAAAGACACACATACATTAAAATATTCTGCAATTAAGCGCAAGTCAATTATTAAATGAAAACAATAAATAAATGTTCCACTTATTAAGTTTGCCGCGTTAAATAAGTGTTTAATATAACTTATTTTATGCGATTTTAACTTGTGTAATTTTAACATTTTAATAGGATTATTTAAAAATAAAACAAAAATTAACATGGATAAGCCAAAGGTCTATATAATAATAATAAGTGTTTTTGATAATATGCTCACAGGTGTTTGTGTATTTTATCATATAATAAGATTATCGTTAATTGCGTGACCTAATTAGTGAACTAGACTTTGTAGTAGGCTAAACTTTGTAAGTAGCTTAGTCAAAGTAAAAACGTATAGTGTATATTATTATGACCCCTAATTTAGTTCGCGACCATGAAACTGCAGATTAATTAAGTACTACCTTGATAAGACATGTGCACATTTATTAAAGTTATATTGTGCACATATTTGATGGAAATTAATTTTGATTGGAAAATGATAGTGTAAGCCGTAAGGTAATAATTATTATTTCAACAATAACTGTATCTACAAATAAAGGCCATAAACTTATTTAGTAACGATGATAATGATAATAGTAATATAAATATTTTTAACAAACTATGTATGGAAATACTTTTTTAGGTTTTATCTATTGCACTTTGCAGTCTTCGGCTTCAGAAAGCATGGAACACAAATATATTGCTCATATACATTTTCACTTTACGTATTTTGATTAGAATTCAATTGGCTAAATTTGGGCAAAATATGTTTGATGAACGATTTATGATTTATAGATCCGACTACATGATGATTTCAGGCAACGGTTAAGAAGTAAAATATATAAAAACCGCATTTATTACAAGTCGTGAAATGAATATGTTTTGGTTGCGGCTAATGACTTATTTACAGTTGTTGGTAAAATATTTAGCAACCGATTTGCTCCATTCGAAAACCATTTATAGATAAACTGTTCGGTAAAAACATCACGATCGGTTAGA